CTCTAAAAATGATCATTAAAATTCTTGAAACATCATTAGACCTCTAAATATTTACTGTGTTGAGGGTTATTTTTTCAGATTAGGTACCTGCCTTCCAAACACTAAATGAGCTAATTTAAAAAAAAAAAAAAGTAAATAAATAAAAAGCCCAAACAAGCCAAGTCTGAAGAAGGAGGATCACTTGAGCCAGGAGTTGAAGATCAGCCTGGGTAACACAGAGAAACCATAACAGTGGCCTCAGGCTCCTCAACTCCATTCCCAGCACACTCAACCTGACTGCCACCTTATCTGTCTTGGACAAAAACTGGAGACTTCTAGGTTCTGGAAAGGACTCTCTCCCGCCTCTTTTCTCAATTCACCCTCTCTCCAGGCCTCTGTCCATCAGTGATGTAAGTAGCACATCTGTGTGTAGGGGGAGGTCTCCTGGACCATAACCAGCCCTCACATCTTGCTCCCCTAGAGTTTCCCCTGTCACCTCTCTTCCTAGTAAAAGATTCACAAAGAAGATGAAGAACTATGACAGTGAGACATAGTGACATCTTTGGACCCCAAGGTGGCAGCTCATTGAACTTCACCATCCCTTATCTCTATTAAGTGATGGCAAAACATACTGGGAAGATCAAAACCTCTTAAGTCCAGTGCCCTGGTTCTAGGCCTGGTTCTGCTACTTATTGGCTGTAACCTGGAATAACTCATTTCTCTTTTCTGAGCCTCAGAGACCCAACCTATAAATGAAGGAAGGTCACAATTACATCTAATATTCAGGTCTTTTACAAGATAACACATATGGAAAACACTTGATTCATATGTCATTCTTTCATTCATTTTCCTTCCTTATTCTGCTATTCCTTGTTCTCTGCATTTCCTGGTATGGCCTTGGGAATAATTTTAAAATTCTCAATATTAGTCCATTTTCTGTTGCTATAGCAAAATATCTGAGGTTAGGCAATTTAGAAAGAAAAAAGTTTACTTAGCTCATAGTTTGGAAGGCTTAAGATCCAAAGAGCATAGCACCAGCTCTGAAAGGCCCCCTGGCTTTGTCAGATCATGGAAATGGATGTCATGGCAGAAATGTGTGGAAGAAGGAGAAATCCTCAGAAGACAAGAAGACAGAGAGCAGCAAGGAGCCAGTCTTGCTCTTTTATGTATGCCTTCTCTAGAGAACTAACCAGGCCCCACAGGAACTACATCAATCCTTTCCAAGGGCAATGTCTCCAATGACCTAATGACTTGCCATCAGGCCCACCTTTTAATAGTACCACAATGGGAACCAAACTTCCAACATGTGAACCCTTTGGGGGACACACACCATATTCAAATTATGGCACTCTCTAAGCCTCAGTTTCTTCATCTATAAAACAGATAATATCTGTATTACAGAGTTATTTTCAGAAGCAGATATCATTAAATATCAAACACGTGTTATAGCTCAGTAAAAAAGTAGTTGTTGTGATTAATAAAGTGTCATACCATAGTAGTTATTTTGGCTATGACTACTATGCTTCCCAAGAGGTTCACAATTTCTGATACACATGGCCTCTGTAGGCAGCTGTGGACTGGATTTGCACCCGCAAAAAGGAAAAAAGGGAGGAAAGCACGTCTTCATACTTTACATCATTCGAGAGGCATATGAGCTGGAGCCGCAGAGAGTGGGAGAGGTTGCCTAAGTGAACAGAAGACACCAAGAACAGAACGTGTCAACATTACCGAGGGCCTGATGGCTTACGCTAAAATATGCACTTTAAAGATTGAATGATAAATTATCAGAGCCTTCAGTGAGGTCCAATCCCTCTATTTTTAAGTCTTTGATTAATAACATTAATAAACACTTTTTTTTTTTTTGCTCGAATCTCCTATTAAACCGAGAAAACAAAAATCCAGGCATTCCTGGAGCCCTTGAAGCGGAACGGTTGTGGATTCTGGCCCACTCCAATCATTAACCACTGGGCTCCCAGAACAGCCTGTCCTGGGGCTGCCCACAGAATGACCCAGGGCACTTCCTGAGAACCCCAGGAGGACTTTCTGGCCACCCTTGAGATGCCAGGCACTTCCAGACAACCTGCTTCTAAGCTGCATCCTTTTCTCTTTCCCCCTGAAGGCAAGAAGATGAAAAAGGACCAGCTACATTTTTTTTTTAGTGGAAATATGGTTTGTTGGGGTTTCCTCTTATTACCAAATCCTCTGTCTACATTTTCACATCACTCTCTAAACAAACCAATAATGTGGCTGTGTCTGTGTATCCATCAAAAAACAGAAAACAAGGACGGGAGGGGGTGTCAGAGCAAAGGGAGTACTAACAAGGAGAGCAGGGACCAGGTAGGAATAGTAAGAGAAAAAAAAAATAAGAGCATATTTCTGATCAACTACAAGAAGGCTTGTTATTGGCACAGAAACTTGGAGACCCCAAATCATCCTTCATGATTTCCCAAGTGACTGGTGCCTATTTCTAAGAGGGCTATTGGTGCTCATAGGAAAGGAAGGAGAAAATGAGGATGAAGTTCAAGCCACCTGACTTTTGAAGACTGACAAAAATATTTGCATCCGCCTGTAAGAGTCAAGAGAGCACAGTTCTTCATAAACTGGCCATTGAACTGAAAAAACAGATTTTGGGGGGTGTTTCCTGCCTGGGTTCTGGGAAATGTGGAATACAGTCCCAACACAAAGACCCCTGGAAGCAGGGATAGCATCTACCAGAATCAGCACTTCACACCACCCCCTAAGACAGGCTTGGCACTCTGGAAGTGCATTTTGAACAAATGGATAATTCCATCCATTCACCTCTTTCAGCCCTGATGTCCTCATGGGGAAAAAGAAGTGGTTGAGAGAGGTTGTCTCTATGGCCCTTTTGGCTCTAGGAGTTTACGGTTCTGGGACTCTGTCCAGCTGACGTAAAAGAGGCCAATCCCTCTCTTCACAACTAGGCCGCCATCATTTAGTAAAGACAGGAAGGGTGATACACAGCCTAACAATTCCCAACTCTCAGCTACCAATCTACCTTATTTTCACTTGTCTTCTGTTTACTAGTGGCAAAGAGTTAATAATTTTCATATCTGAGATACCTGCTTTCACTTGAATCAGGATTAATTTATACATAGCTATGCTATGACTTTCTGTTATAGCTCAAACTGGCCATGCTCCAAGCCTGGATTTAAAGCAAGAGCATGATTAATCCATTCCCTAGGCTCTCCCTGGCCTCCAATCATGAAGTTTCATCCTTCCTGGTTGTTTGGATGCCTGGACCCCCCAACAACATAGGCATCCAATAAGGCAGGTGGACAACCTACTTACAAAAATCAATATAGCATATCATAACCCACAACCAGGCAAGACCTGGCACCAGAGATGTAGTAGTCTCACATGTGGTTCCTGTCCTCGAGAAGCTTTCGATGCACCACAACTCACATGATACACTCTGAAATATTAGGGCCTTAGTGTATCTCTCCTCTAGGAAATAAGTTAAAACCTTTAAAAAAAATTACTACTTAGAGCCAATAAAAAATGGAAAAAAAAATTACTATTTGGAAGTAATTTCAAATTTGAAAAGCTGAAAAAAAAATGCACAAAGAAAACCAAACACTCTCTACCCAGACTTACCTCTTGTTAACATTTTACTTCATCTCCTATTGTGTACAAGCTTGCTTTTTACAAGGACAGGACAGCTTTCTTGTGGGTTTATTTCTCCCAGAATCATTTGTGGTAACTTGCACGCATCATGCCCCTTTGATCTGATCATATCCCCTAAAGATTTATAGGCTTTCACGTTGAATTTTTTTAAATCCCTTTTTTTAGGATATCTATAAAATCAATACAAGAGTATAAAATAGAAAAAAAAAACCTCTTAGGTACAAAAGTTAATTTTTAAAACAGGATAACAAAAAATAAATAAATAAAGAGTTTGTTGAATACAAACTATTAAGGTCTCCAATGATAGCATTTCCAGGACAGCAGCAGAACGGCATGGGAAACTCCAAACACCTATCACCCCTGGACAGTCAACTCATCTCGTTTCTTGGCCTTTGTCTCAGTGGAACAGCAAATGCCTCCATTTTAGTTTAGAAGGGAGGAAGAAGATCGTTGAAGCTAACCAGTGTACTGATGACTGCAAGAGTCCATCCTCCTCTGGGAATAGCATGGGGAAACCTGTCCCTACGAATAGACTCCAGAACTAGTTAGCTCCCAAAGGCCAGGGCTGCAGGGACAACCTGCTTTCAAGACACATCTCTTCTGCTCATAAGTTCATGAAAATATTCCTTTTCTCCTTGAGTTAAAACGTAACCACACAATTTCCTGCACAGGACAAAAGATAGGAAGGGTTACTCACTACTTTTTTTTTTTTTTTTTAAGCATCAGAAGGCAAAAATTGCCACCTATGATTCCCAGCCAAGGATAGTGGAGCAGTTACTCAGGCACCTCCACTGTGGACAAATACCAACTTGCCCAAGGCCCATGTTACTCAGTCGTGGCAAGTAAAAAGGAATAAACCAGGTCAGCCCATTCCATTATTCATCATCCAGCAGATAAATCACTCTTTTTCCTTTGGCAGTAAATGATTTTGCTTACTTAGTACTATTTTTAATAAACCTATTGTACATGGCTATATTCCATGGAGATAAATATATAAAAATAATTTCCTTGTTGAAATTATTTTTGCCAAATCTCTTCCTTCCTCATAACATCTAAAAATCAATAAATTAGCATTTTTAGTCACACTTTTTTTAAGTTAACACACTCCTGAAAACTAAAATAAGTAAGTAAAAGCATGCATAGATCTTTAAATTTTTTTAAGTTAACACATACCTGAAAACTAAAATAAATAAGTAAAAGCCCATGCATAGTTCTTTTCAAATCTGACAAAAGGTAGACATGCTTAAATCAACATGACTCTTTACTGTCAAGGTAACTCCAAGGTAATTCTGATTATATGACTCCAAAACATTTACCTTGCACTAATCTTCCTTTTAAGGGGGAGGGGGGATTATACACGGATAATAATACAAAGGTAGATTTAAAGTGAAAGGAAGATAAGGGGGGGGAAAGTAGGTTTACCTCCGAAGTCTAAATGTACAGTATCTCTACAGCAAGAGTTTTAGAAGGACGTGTATAAACATGAACTTCATCCGAAAACAGGCTGGCAAAGAAATGAGGAAAAGAAAGGTAAGCATATGAAGATGTCCAGCTTGGCTGGGGGAAAACACAAAAGATCCTTCGATCTACCTTGTTTGGATGCCCTTCGCCGAATCTTCATTTTGGGGAAGGAAGGCCAGGAGTAGTTAAAAGGTGAGTCCGAGTCAGAATCCATGCTTTTGTTTTGGTGAAATGAACAGACTCAGGAAGAGCTCGTGCCAGCCAGGAGGCAAGCCTCCCCGGTGATGTCAAAGGAAGGAATGAGGCTGGATGAAACAGCTCCCGAACGCAGGGAGGGAGAGGCAATAAATGTTTTGCTTCCCTCGGGCGTTCAGGCATGTAGACCAACAAGGAGGCTGTAAATATTAAAGCCAAACCAGGAAAGTGAAAGGGGGAGAGAGGGGGGGACCAAGAGTCTCGCTGATACTTCACAGTCCAGTTATTCAAAAGGTCATTGGGAGCAAATGAATCATTAACTCCCCTCTTCTTGTTGCTGGAAATGAAAATGCAGAAGGAAGGTAAGCAGGGATTGAAAGAGCCGCCTGGGATTCGAGAAAAGCCTCCAAATACAGCTGCTTGTTTTGCTCGGGAGCTAGAGTATCATTTCTCGGAAAAGCCGCCCTGTGTGGTGTGAGATAAAGGTTGAGGTTTATGTGTGTGGACAGCCAGAAAGCATGATCCACAGGCAAATGAAGGCCATCAGACCAGGAGGCTCCCTCCAGAGCAGTCTATTCATTCACACGGGCAGCTTGGGCAGCTTGGCCAGCTTGGGCAGCTTTTTGGATCTGAGAGCCAAAACAGCTCTGCTAATTCACTTAACAATCCCCGCTCCCAGTGCTTGTAATGCTAACGTGGTCTGGAGGCTTTAACTTGAGTGTAGAATTGTAACTCATTCCATTAGATTTGTGCAAAGTTATCTACTATTGTTTAGCACAAATGGGGTATTTTCCTGATTTCTCACCAAGTTTGGCTGTCAGTCATAAGGATTTGGATGCCTTAATAGCTCCCATCTAAACTTTCAGTCCATCTCAATAGAACTAGTCACCAATTTGCTGCAAACCAGCACTTCTTATACAGTCTCCCTGAGCACTCTGCTGTGATTAGCATTCGGTAGAAGCCCATTACTGCCTTCCCATAAATCATGGCACGGCTCAAACTTACTTCCCTACTTCCACAGGCACATAGATACCCGTGACTGGAATAAGACCAAGCATAGCGGCCAAGATGCACAGAGCAAAAAAGGGAGTCTCTTTTGAGTACTTCTCTCAGTAAGAGTACAGCAAGAAGTATTTTGTTGCACTGTGTTTAATAAGGCTGTGTGATGCCCAAAGACACTAAAGGACATTGGCATTGATATGAGGATCCACTTAGTTCTGCCAACTGGGAACACAATAGTATGTGTCTTAGGTAACATTCAACTCTTCACTTTATTTCCCAAATTGTTGGCACTATTATGCTGTGCTGCAAGGCCTGCTCTGTGGTAGCTAATTCTGACCCATGGGGTTGGAGGAGAGTAAAGAATTCAGACAGAGGAGAAAGGGGAGAGACCCCCTTAAGTTCAAATTCAAATAAAAAATCAGAATTATGTAAATCACTACTATGATGTTATATGGTTTGCTACATAATCATACATCTAGAACAAAGTAAAACGGGAATATTGTTGCAAGCATTGCAAGTAAATAAAAAGAAATTATGTGGCCTTTCACTTGAGGAATAATTACATATTCTCCTTAATCAGCTGGACACAATTATAAATTACTCTCAAGCCTTATGTCCAGTGAGAGTCTTAATTCACATGGATCATCAATAAGAAAATAACAAAATCTTGTGAGTTTTTACATTGTGTCTGTTTTAGAGCCTAATATAGTTGCTGAGATATTGCAGGCATTTTGTTAAATGAATGAGTGATTTATACAAATGGGTCACAATATGTGGTGAAAAACCTGTACATGACAGCTAAAGTATTTATAGCGTCTGCTGATTACAAACATACATTTTGACAAAAAGCTACAATAACTCTGGTGGAGTGTTTATTTAAAATAGATTTGTTTTGTTTACTACAACAATATCTACATATGTAAAAAGGACAACAGTTATGAGTAGAGAAAACACAATGTTCTTTGACGCTCCAGATCATACTTGGGGTGTGCACAGATCCACAGCCCCTCAGCTGCTCCCAAGATGTCTGCAGACCAAAGAAAGGGGACCTCCATTGTTGTGGACAATCACCAAACTCAATAACAGTGCTGGACCAGTATATTTTTATCTGATGAAAACTTTGAGAGATTAGAAATACTTCATTCCTCATCCTGAATCAGTGGTGGTGGTTTTGCAGATCTTTGCTTCACTAAAGCAATAGGAGTGATAAACATTATATTTTTCTGGTGCTATGGGAAAGGAGACATGCTTTTGATTAAATTGCAGACAGAACAAAGATAATACAGGGTTCCTATCTTGTTTACTATGTTGGTCAGAGGAGTGACAAAGTGGTCAGGAAACTCTAATAGTAGAGACAGCAGAGTCTGGGGCAGAACTTCTCAGATGGCATCAACATGGGAGGGAGCATTCATAAAATGCAAATGATAAGATTCCTACATAGTCCTGTTGAATCAAGATCTCTGAGGGTGGTCCAAGTTCTGTACTTACAAGGGGCACCATCCCCATCCCAGGCAGATTCACATGCCTAGTAAAGTTTTAGAGTCGGTAAACTAGAAGATGATAAACCCAGGTCAACAAGTTCCCAGAGAAGTCTGCTCCTCCCTTGACCATCATCATTGATCAATCAGAAGAACCTTAGGACAATGCAGACAGAGAAAGGATGAAATAACTTGGTACAAAAGCATTTCTATTAGTTGAGATACCATGTGGATTAATCTTATCTAATTTCCCCAAAACACAGTCTTTGTTGACCAATTACATATCAATTGATTACTGATACCAAAATCATTCTGACAATAAAACTACTAGAACTACCCAACCACTGCCTATAAAACTACCTCTGGTATAAAGAGACTTCACAATATTCATATTTGCTTTGCAATATAGCCATACTTTTAAAGAAATGAAATGATTTCCACTTAGCATCCATGCATAGTTAACATGTAAAGTCAAGTCAAAAACATTGTTTGCACAGCCTTTTATTTTTAAGCCAGATCATTTTCTTGCTCACCAAAGACTCTCTTCTGAATATGAGTCATTTATCCTCATTGTTTTCTATAGTAATCCAGGTGAATTTTTTCCACCCCATTTTATTAATATAATTGCATTTAAATGGATTCAAGATGTCATTTACATCTCATTCATATTCAATAGATAAATTGCTTTGTCTGACTGATTGTAATTGCAGTTGGCGGAACTCAGTGATATCCCCCAGGCCCACCTCATCACCAGACATCATACAACCAGTACAGAGTAAGCATGCAAATGACTTCATCTTGCCATGCCTCCTTTAGTTAGAAATCCTTTATTGAGAAAATCACCTCCATGAGGTTAAAATCATTCGGGGCAAATGCTATGGCCTTGAAGTTTCAGCTTTCTGGAAGACCCACATAGAAGACTTCCTGCATCCCCTTCAGCTGGAGGACATGTCACCTGCCTTTCAACCTGGATAAAATGCAATCTTTTCAAAGCAATATTTACATTTAGTATTTGAGAAATCTTCTTATCCTCCCATGGGTCCCCAAATTCCTTAAGGGCAAGAACTGTTGTCTTACTGGTATTTTTAAGGAGCCATATACTAAAAAGAAAACATATAGGGTTTTGGAGACACCTATAAAGCAAATCTCACACTGACTTACTTAGTAGCCCTAACCAAGTCACTCATACTGTCTGAGCCCTAGTTGTCACATATAAAATGAAATCATAATGTCTGTCCTTCAAAGGGGTATTGTGAAGATCAAAGGAGATTATAACAGAAAAGAACTTAAAAGAATTGTCAATAAGCTTTAAATATGAATTATAAAGTTTCCTTTCATTACAATTCTCTTCCACATTATAGACAAAATAGTCATATCTTGACCTCGGTTGTAATAGCTTGATTTTCAAAATTGCAACATGCCCGTGTACCAGGAAGTTCTAAGAAAAAAATAAGTAAATAAAAGAATTAAAAGAGGACAGAAGAAGGAGGACAAGGAAGAGGAGTCCCTTTCCAGGAGGTGCGGGTTGTGGACACGTGGATGTGTCACCTGGAGGTGTGGATGGTGGAAGTAATGAGCCCTGGGGGTAAGGGAAGCGAGGATCAGAGAAACAGTGGAAGAGTAGCCTAAGGAGAAAGAAATTCCTCACAATTCATGAGCTTAGAGAGAGCAACATCTAAAATTACATTTTAAGTTTTTCCTGATCATGTTCCAATTCCAATTTCCCCAAACCTTCAAGAGAAGTGTCTTACTCCCATAGACTTTTTCACAAACATCATCTGTGCAAACCCATTGAACTTCATAGCACATCATAACAAAATTCATGCTCTACAGACTTTTGTACAGTTATTCACAATGTAAATTTGTCAAATGTGAGCCATCAAATGAGCAAAGAATTTAAATAACTAATTTTAACATCATCTCTAAACTAACACCATAGTTCTGAAGCTAAAACTCTCATAAGATGGGGTAGATTGTCCCGGTTTTTAAAGAAGAGCAGACCCATCTTGCATATGCGACTGGAATGTCAGGGTTTGAGGCAGTCTTGATTGACAGCAAGAAAATACATGTGTGCATCCTCACCTGAGTGGATTTACACATCCACAAATACTTCTATATGCAGCCGTTTGTGTCTGTATTAACCAAACAGGAGTGCATACTAATGTGCACAACTCTAATCTATTACTAAAACTAGAGGGAGACCTGAGTAAACCCTCTGGCTTCCCTTGCTTTTAGTTGCTTGCTTTCATCAACAATTTTAGAAGTCATAGAGCTAAGCAGTATGCTTCCATTAGCTTTGCTAAGTGTAACACCTCTGAGGTATGGGTCACAGTGGTAATGGTTGCCTAAGTCGTTTTCCAGGAACTTGGTTGTACCTCCAAATGGTCTGAACCACTGACCCTTCACTTCAGCCTGCACCAGTGTCTGATGGGTGACTATTGGACATCAAAGAGCTGAAAACTCCACACTGCTAATGCTGCCAGTTTCTAACTATGCATCCTAGGGAGAGCTGTGAAG